TGACGAGGCCTCCATCCTTCCTCTCCTGCAGTGTGAAGAAGCCTTCAGGAAACTCGGTGGTCTGCGATGCGCTGCACTCTGTCTCATTCTCTGAAACAGAAAGACACACACACACAAACGTATCTTTGATAAACCCTGAAACAACCAGACTGTTCTGGAGCACTGAGTCGGCCTCATAATCTCTTAATGGCAGTTTCATGCTCTTTCATGCCAATAAGACAAGAGGGTTAGCTGAGCAAACACTGTCACAGCTGAAGAGCCACAATTGATTACTCACACACAAACAAATCTGTCTACCTCACAAACACAATAAATTGAATCAAATGACAACAAAAAGAATCAAATGATGACACAAAAATCTCTCCGGATATAAAGGGCGATTTAAAACTCCATAAAAAGACACAAAGTGGAACACAAACATTCTTAAAACATCTGATTTTCTTACCGACATCCCTTCGCACCCTGGCTGGGTGGCTTTCCTGAGCTGATTTTGCTGTAAATGATACAAGATGAACTGTGCAATACAAAAATATTACAAATCCTAAAAAGTAAGGTATAAAATCTTTTCTCCTCTTTTTCTGCAGCACTGCAGTCTTACTCATGGTCATTTAAGTCAATAAAAAATGAAATTATCAAATATCCCAAGGAGTCATATGTTGCTTTAAGTCCAACAAGTTTGCAAAGATTTAATTTGAGCTAAAGCTGCTTGTAACCGCTGCATCTAACACTACTCTACGACTACAAGACCCAAATAAAGAGATTATAGGGGGGGAGAAAGCATCTTTTAAGGGCTGGCGCTACCAAGTGTGGGGGATCACGAGTTGTTAGGCATTCCAGTCAACTAGAACAGACTCCGGCCTGAGGCTCATTTGGGGTGTAACAAAGCATAAAACCATCTTAACACCGTTCACATCTTTTCAACTAATTAGTTGTTCTCATTTTGGTAAAAGAATTATAACCTTAAGTCACATGTTTGTAAATATTTAGAGTGTGTGTGTGTGTGTGTGTGTGTGTGTGTGTGTGTGTGTGTGTGTGTTTGTGAGTGTGTGTGTGTGTGCGTGCGTGCGTGTGTTAAGGGGGGGGGTGGATTGTTTATAGCAGTTTTAATGCAACAATCAATAACAAATGAGTCTACAGTATAGCAGTATAGAATTAAAATGCATGTTTCGATATATTCATAAAAAAACTAAATATATACATCAATATCAACATTTGTATAAGAATCATTACAAAAAGGATGCCTTCACAAAATACTACAGCAGTTGTGAGCAAAAAAGGACAGTAGCACAAAGAACAAGTGGAAAAGGAAATTAATCTAACTCTGAAAATCAAAAAACGCAACTCATGCTTACAGTTTGATATTCTAATCTATGAGCACATCCGTTTAAAATCCCCACCCACTTTCCTTTGTTTAAAAAAAATAATTAGGTCCATAATTCGCTTGTTTTGTTGTTGTGCAAACTAGTTTCATATAAATAGGTTTGACAATTAAAATAAAACTAGTACAATGATCACAACCCCTGTGGGCCTATATGTCACATCAAGCAAAAGTTCACCAAAGCTTAGCACTACTATCTCCACTCTCTAGCTTAGGTTGGTAAGGCCTTAACCTTTTTTCTTAACCCTTAAAATAACGTTTTAAGGTTTCATTGCAAAGCCTAACAAACTGGACAAAAAATACTTTGAATTGGTGATCTAAAAAAACATGTTTCCTTGCAATTTTGCTGTAGCCTAAATGTCAATACGAACCCAAATGAGATCAAGAAGAAGAGAAAATAGAAAAAGTTATTCTATTTTTCATTTCAAAATCAAAAACATGTATGTTTTCCTATTCAGTTCACAAGACTCTACGGAGCCCCTGTAGTACCAAGAAGTACACCAATATAAAATGGGCACAATATATTAACTTTATATGTATAGACCTTATATAGGGGACTTTAGGGGCTCCGTAAGACTCTCTCCTGCATCTTAATCATTAAATATTTGAATATATAAATATTTAGATAGGTAGCAAATCATTTGCGACCCATTTCAAATGAGTTAGATGAACAATGGGTGGATATTCAAAGTATAACTGACTGCTTTCACTTTTGGATCCAAAAAAAAGTATACCCTTGTGTGTCAGGAAAAAAAAGGGGGTGTGTGTGTTTGAGGAGCGACGGGGTGTCCTCGGACTTGCTTGGACATGCCCCAAGTTTCCCCAAATCCTGACAACCAACCACCATGTGGGCACTTCAAAACAACCAGGACGAGCTCGGGAAAGACGAAGCAACGGAGCAGTGTCTTCAAAGCCGAAAACAGGCCTGCAGAACTATTGGTAAGTGTCTCTGCTGACTTTGTATTACAATGGCATTTGCGTTCAAATTAAGTCTGCATGTGTTGGGCTAAGTCGTAATGCTCACACGGCGTGGTTACCTGAAGATTACCTGTTAATTCGGCTTTGAATAAGATTTCACTGGTAATCCAAGTAGGTCAGCCAAATGCAGCACTTGCTACTATTGTTGTGATGGGTCATTTTGAAAACACATCAGTGTTTTTCTTACGTTTAGAAGCTCACAGTAGTGAGCAAATGGCGCCCCCGTGTGGTGTAACTATGGTGTTACTAGATAGGTTGTTTGACTTTTCTGAGAGCGTGAGTCATGTTGTACTTTTTTTACATCATACTAACTTGTAACAGTGCGTTAACATCATTGATGCCACAGAAATCCGAGGTTTAAATCGATCAGTCTACCAATCTTTATTTGTATAGCGCTAATTCACAACGTGTTATGTGTTCTGTCTTTTGAGTGTGATGTCATCTGATTGGGATGCGAGGATTTCTGAGCTTATAATGCAAGACACATTTCTGTGCAAACAAACAATAAACTGTTATCTTATCTTATCAAATATTATCTCAACACACTTTGGAAAAAGCAAGCGATTGATATACCAACATTAATCCATCATGAGCACAGCACTAAGCAACATTTAGCGAAGCAAAAGGCTGAAATCTTTGGCAAAACCAGGCTCATAAATGAATAGATAAAACAAATATTAATGATATGGCATATCTTAAATTCAGGACAATCAGTTTCATCCGGTTTCTTAAAACATTCAAACTTATCCTTAAATAATATAAGGTTGTATTTTAGGCCCATCTAGCTTTTTCTTATATTTTACGTTTGTCTCAATGACCCCCCCCATATGCATCTCTATTTAAAAAGTAGGAGGGCATTTTTCTTTTTATGTTGCTATAATATAGCCTATGGGTGCCTATATTTTTTTATATTATCTACCTAATAATGTCTTAATAATTACATTGCAATAATGGTCTCAGTACAATAATGGACTCTGTGCAATTACTGTGGTGTTTTAAGCTAATTGCACCCTATGTTTTTATTTTTAAATTTATTACATTCTTTTAAAAAAAATTAAGGTTTGAATATGTATGTGGGTATGGGTGAGATTTGCTTGTCTTGTGTGCTGGTGTATGTTTGTATATTTGATATGCTGCAGCTGGATTGCTCCAATAGAGTTTCGTTGTATAACACGGAATGAATGAAGGCGTGACCCCAGCAGCCTTCATGGTAACTCTTGAATCCAGCATTGAATACCATATTTTCTGGGGATAAAATAATCTGTGGGTCTATTGATGACATACACCTACATCTGGTACTATATCACCTGTAAATAACAGAGCTAAAGCCTGGACGTTTGACCCACTTTTAAAGATTTTTTTATTTTGGGCTTTTTTTGTTGCCTTTTTTAACTGAGAGAGGACAGTGGATAGAGTTGGAAATCAAGGAGAGAGAGAGAGTGAGGAATGACATGCAGGAAAGGAGCCACAGGCTGGATTCGAACCTGGGCCGCCCGCTTGGAAGACTATAGCCTCCATTTTGACCCACTTACTTGCTCATTGAGCCCATTAGTTGGTTATAATTGTTTTTAACAAATCCTTGTCTGACCAGTAGATGTTGGTGTTGAAGCAGAAACTCCTTGAGCCTACCTTAAAACTATTGCTGCGAATTTCCCACTAATAACTATGGTCTAAATTGTTTGTTTCTTTTACATAAAACCATTGGTTCTATGTAGTCAATGTAAGGTTAAAACTTTGGGTGCAATACTGTTTTACCTTCTGCTATGTGTGGTATGTTTGAGTTTAAGAAATGTCACCTGAGTCATGGCAGCACCATTGTTCCTGTGAGCTGCAGCTGCATATCAGGCTGTGTTTTATTGACAGATTTTTGTCCCACAGAGATAAATTATTAAAAAAGCACATTCTACAGCGGCCAGTGTGCTTTGGTTTCTGTGTTGGAGCAGTGAGGTAAAGTAGCAGCTTGGCAAGAAGCCTCTCATTTGTCATTTGAAGCCTCTCTGTGTCTCTTAGTGTGTGTGTGTGTGTGTGTGTGTGTGTGTGTGTGTGTGTGTGTGTGTGTGTGTGTGTGTGTGTGTGTGTGTGTGTGTGTGTGTGTGTGTGTGTAAGAGGATACAATGGAAACTTGACAATGACCTGTTCCATCTCAGTTGTCACTGGTATGCTTGCTGTTTGGAATAAAGCTTTTTGTGTGACTCTTGTATCAAAAAAAAGGAAAACATTTTAATACCTCTAATGCAAATCTTATGTCATAAAAAGAACACATTTGAAATGTGGATATAATAGCTAAAATGTGTGTTGGAGAAAGATATTTGTCTTTGAGAAGACATAGCCACGAGTTAGAGAAGTAGTTATTTCCCGTTTGTTTTTCACAACAGTGACCTCACCGAAATAGAGGAAGGAAACAAGCCAAACTGGAGGAACCAGTTGAGTTTCTTTACTCTTGGTTATACAAGGAAACATCAGCAGCTTTTACTAGTTTCACAAGATCTTTATGTGTTTGTGACCTATGTCTGTGCAATTATTCTTATCATTTTCTTATCACTTCTTGCCTTCTCATATGCTGTTCCTTGGCTCTTGAAACAGCACAGGTCTGTGTTTTTTTCGTACTTCAACTTGTTGAATAGCAGCACCCTGCCCTCAGAGAGGAGTGCTCACTGTTCAAGGTTCAGGAAGATAACGAGAGGTGAGTGGCTGACGCAGAGCTCGTGTTGTGTTACCAAAGACTCATATCAGATTACCATAGACAGCAGGTTGGGTGAAACTGTAGCTGTGTTCAGATCGCTGTGGCTCAAACAAACCAGGAACTGGGACTTACAGAGGAGTTCTGAACAAGCGAAAGAAGCTAACAGAGGGCTTCCTGTTGTTTTTAAGAAGAGTGTTACCATGGGTGAGAAGACACAACACTGCCTGCTGCTTTTGCTGTGTTTTTCAGCGCTTGTTCCCTGTTCAGCTGCCATGGTGTTTTGGACAGCCGTGGTGGAAATAAGCTATGCTAACAGCAACAATCAGACTGTGGACAAATACTGTGAGTGTGGGGTGTTTGGTCGCAACTCTCCTCTGGAGAAAGCTTCAGGCATTGTAACCCTTCCCAAGGGAGACCCCAAAGGCTGTGGCCCGGATCCTGTTTTCAACCGCAACAGCAGCTCACCACCTTGGATCGCCCTGATTAAAAGGGGCAACTGTACCTTCAGCGAGAAAATCAACGCCGCCAAACGACAAGGGGCAGCTGGTGTGCTGGTGTATAATTTGGATGGCAGCGGAAACAGCACAACTCACATGGCACACTCAGATGCATCTGATATTGTGGCAGTGATGATTGGCAATCATCAGGGCATGGAGATTGTAAAGTTGGTGAAGAATGGGACAGAGGTTCAGATGCTTATTGATGTCGGCAGCGCTCACGGACCCTGGATGGACAGCTACTGGCTTTACTTCCTGTCCATCGCATTCTTTGTTGTGACAGCAGCTGCGATCACATACTTTGTGTTCATCTCTGCGAACCGTCTCTACAGTCTGAACAGGCACAAACGCAACGAGAGGAAGCTGAAAAATGAGGCGAAGAGGGCGATTGGGCGTCTACAGTTACGCACACTTAAGAAAGACGACGAGGAAACGTCAAATGACTCCAACATGTGCGCCGTGTGTATCGAATCCTACAAGGCAGGCGAAGTGGTCACGGTGCTAACGTGTGACCATATCTTCCATAAAACCTGCATTGAGCCCTGGCTGCTGGAGAGGAGGACCTGCCCCATGTGTAAGTGTGACATCCTGAAGGCCTTGGGGGTTGACGATGAGACAAAAGACCACATTTCCACTGATTCACCACCAGATGTCACTGTGGTCACAGTGGCAGGAGGAGAGCCTTTGTATGAAGTCCCACTGACTGACCCGGGAAGCTTTGACCCAGAGAGTCATCAGCATCTCTATGACAACAGGGCCTTTGAGGGAGACTCAGAGGCAGCGAGAGGATGAACAACAGCAACGGAAACATAACAGCAACAAACCAGGACACAGTCAAATTCCCTGTTTGATGTTGTGAGTCATTTTTCCGAGATACAATGAACCAGCACAGCAGAATCTACAACTATTATGATCCAACATGAGAAAACACTGTTCATCTTGTAATGCAGGCATGCTGAAAAGGATGTTTGAAAAAAAAAAAAATCAAAGGATGACAAATATTAATGGACCTTTGTTTAATTATCTTGGATGCTGTTGAAGTTTCTTTGTATCTGCTTTGGTGCAAGTGTGAAATTATAGGGTGTGTTCCTGCAGGTACCTTGAGAGGGTTATAACAGCTTGTAAACACTGAGAAGTCGTGGAGTGCAGCCAGTGGCAAATTGCAGTTTTGCATAGTGACCACACCAGCTGGACACTGTTTGTGAAGGAAGTACAGCAGATCATTTTACTATCTGTGTGAGGGGTTTGGGGCCAAAGTGTTCATTTCTGTCATTGTCTTTTGAATTAATATCTCTTTATTCGATTCATCTTAACAAAACAAAACTGGGCATGTTTTTTTTCCATGTTGACAGGGTGATATGCAAACACAACCCTTGTGGACACACCCTTGAATGGAAATGCAGGATGACACACGTTGCATTAAAATGAGTGAATAACAATCACCTGAGGGGCTGGCGCTCTGTAGAAACATGCACCAAGGAAACATGTTTTCCAGATATGAGAATAAGAGTTTCCAGGCTTGTTATCAGGCCTTTCATTCTCTGATTATGAAATCATCAAAGGTGACTCACAGTGATATGATGGGGCAATAAATGTCATAGGAACTGTACACAACATGCATCCAAAGAATGTAATCTTGACTGTTGGATAGGGGGAAATTAGCTATGTGATACTGTTGTTTGACATTAAATATGTACATTGAGATTGATTTGTAAATCATTGAGGTAATATAAATATGAACATAATGTATTTATAGTACTTTTCTAACAGCTGATTTGTATGTACAAGCACAAATGGTTGAACAGGTCTTCCAGGTTTTACCTCTTTCTTATTTGGAACAGAGTATCCTGCTTCAGTCCTTGTGGTCTACCTCGGCACTCTCCAGACATTTTGTTCAAGACCAAGACTAAGTTTTGCAATTCTAAGTCAAAGTGTGTCCCTCAGTGGGTGATAAAGCTAACGAGTGGTTAAATTTCTTTATCTTCTGGTGAGGAAGTGCTGATTGTGATACTTAAGATATTTTTCTTTATTGAATCATTTTTTTTGCTATACTGTTTAACAGATTCCAGGAGTCTTAAATCATTATGTGAAATGAATATTACTTGCTGTATTAAATCACATTGATGCTTATTAAAATGCAATAAATCCCTCAAAATGAGGCTAACGTTATGAGCATACTGTGTGATCTTGCAAGAGTGCTGTTTCTGTGTGTATGTGTGTGTGTGGAAGCAGTGTTTAAGAGTGTGTGTTTCTCCACATCGGGCCGGTCTGTGTGTAGTCAACGGGCGTCTCACTTATGGCCATGTTCCCATTGACCGTTGGAGAGAAAGGGAAGCTGTAATTACCTCCGCACAGGTGGGAGCCGATCTGAACACGCCTCGAGCCTGAGCCTGATAATCATCATATCATATAAGTAGGAAGGCTTGATGGAGCAGGCAGAGATATGCAGCTGTTAGCTGTTATTCGTTTTTATTACCCTTCCTTTGTGTTTCAGAAGTACATCAGAGAAAACTTTTTGTGACGCTGTTGAACACATTCTGTGAGTCACGCAGGCCGTTGTGATTGGTTATAAACCAGTTCTCTGAAACAGATGGCTCGTGACCTCTTAAAATAAAGTGTACACCCTTTCGTAACTCTCTCACCAGAGACTATGGCTTTTAGTGTGACATCAGGTCAGAGTGATCATTTCATCTTAAGAAATGTCTTTCCTCTTGAATTGTTTAATAGTGAATAGTTTTAAGGCTATAAAGAGGTGAAAAAATCAATTATTACACAACATACATTCAGAATCTGATCTTTATTTTGGGTTTTAGCGTGTCCACTGTCATATTTGTGTAGAATCTCATGCTTTATTTGTGTGTTTCTTTTAAAAGTATTTCTAGAACCAAGGGACTATTTCCATAACTCCACTGTTGTCCAGGATTTGCTGACAAGGATCCTCGTTGGCATGCTTTAGCCCCGTTTCCACCAAGCGGTCCGGTTCAGTTCAGTATGGTACCTATTTATTAGCGTTTCCACCGTCAAAAGTTGTTCCAAAATAAGGGATCCTACTTTTTTGGTACCCTTCATTTGTGGGGCCAAAGGTACCAATCTGACCCTAAAAGATCCCTACTTTTTTTTTTACTGTGTCCTGTTCTTCTTCTTCTTCGTTGAATTTAATCAATAGCGGGCTACACCGTGTTGGGCTGCTATGATGTCACACTATTTCGTAGCTGACACGGCTATCTCCATCTGGCCATCCTTGCTCCAATACTCCTTCAGTGCTTTTGTTAATAATAGTAATAATAGTTTTCATTTTGTTATCCAGCTAATTAAATAGAACAACATAGTCTTAAAAGTCACCAGAGGAATGAGACCTGCACCAATGCATCATGAAAGCAAATGAAAACACTTTTTTTTCATGGTCCTTGTTTTTGTGGGTTTAAGGTAAGTGAGGAGCCATAGTGAGCTGAGATGGGATGTTATGTTATGTTATGTTAAAGTTAAAAGTCTAAAGCAGGTCATGAGCTGAGGGCAGACACTCAATCATAAAAAAACAGTCCAGCTCTCTCATGGTGTCTCCTCGCCCCTATGAGATCAGTGTACACTGGATCTCAGGCCAGCACTCTGAGCTCCGATTCATAGGTCAGATAGTTAAAGTGGTATCACAGTGAGACAGAGAATCAATAGTGAACTAACTGACCGGGCTGGAAACAACTGGCAGACTCGAGGTTAGAGGTGCGCTCTGCTCGGTGGTGGCACCGCTCTGATTTATTGCACTTGTTAAGAGAAAATTGAGTCAGAAGGCTTTCATTTAATGGCATGCTAGTCTTTGGCTGTACTCTAATACAGCACTTGACCTTCAGTTTCAGATGGGAATCAAGAAGTGGAATTAAATACTGTAGTGGTCTTAGAACGTATCTGCACCTGAAGTGTGTGATCACTGTAAATAGCTCATGTTATTCTGAACAAAGATAAACATGCAGGTTTAAGATGAGGCCATGTTAGATAAACAGCGAAACACTGGCTTTATGTCGAGGATTGTTGCCCATGCTCCTTGTTGTGTCTCACTTTGTTCCTTTGACTCTAATGATAGAAAGCCCTGCAACACCATCTGCTGGACTAAATGTGTACCTGCAATGAATTTACATTCATACCAAGCCAATTGGTCACAAGCCAGTCCATCGTTTCATTTTTGGTTTAAAGGTGTGAGGGGATTTTTTTTTGGTGCTCAAATGGAAAGTACAAGTAGTAAGTAGTAGAGGGGCGACTCTTTTAATATGACCCATGGATTTGTGGCACCTAGGTCGTTGGTCGTGAATATTTTGTAAAGTTTTTAAAAACGTTTTGGCCTTTTAAAATATTCACCTGAAAATTACTGAAGTACTGTAGAACTGTTGCTTAAGCCGTTTTCACATATGCACTCCGGATAATATCTAGATAATTGCAGGAGGACCGCTTCGGAGAATCTCCCGACCTAGCTGTTCACATATGCTCCTCACAGCGGGGGAGGCAACAGAGTCTGCTACACGACGTTATAATGACAATATTTGCCTTTAGCTCTATGCTATGTGTAATCCAATGGAATGACAACATCCACAAAACAGAGGAGAACAACAAACTGACCAACAGAAAACATAATGCAGCCGTTTAATTACGTGCACGGAGAGCGTAGTGGTCGCGTGCAGACACTTTATACAGTCACTGTATATAAACATCATTCTCTTTTCATTGGCTGAAATTGAAATCTCCGGAGTATATTCGGCCGCGATCAGACATCAGCTCACTCGGACTCCGGGTAAAGACCGCGCGAAAAATGCGGCTTTTTGCGTTCACACATAGCCTAAAGACCCTCCGGGTTAGCCAAATCTCAGTTTTTCAGGAGATTTCCAGATGTGTGAAAAGGGTTTTAGAGTATGTATTTGTGCTGCTTTTTGTGTATACTTTAATGTCTGAATTTGAAATCTCTCTCTCTCTCTCTCTCTCTCTCTCTCTCTCTCTCTCTCTCAGCCTTGCTGCATTGTGGTCCCTTGTGCAGCCTCAGCAGAGTAGAGGAAAGTCTTTCTAATGAAATTACAGTAGTTGCTCTCGTCTCGGCCTCTGTTGTCCCAGACAGTCTGAGTAATTATCCATATGAAGGGAGGAAATTTGATTACAAAAGTGCACTCGGAAACAAATGAATCCATTTAGCCAATACGTACAACATTAAAAACATTTCTTTTCTTCTCTTACTGCCTGCTGCTCGTACAAAGTATCAGATCAAACACTCTGGTTAGATAAGTGTTATCCTCCACTCGGCTTTCTTAGTGTGTCATTGGCTCTGTGATTAAGAGCAAAGATTGGGTATACTACTCACAACTTCTCTTCATCCCAACAGGTTTGTCTGGTTTTTTTGGCCACTCACTTTGTGTTCACATTATTAAAGAAACTCTTACTCCTCCTCCTTAAATAAAAGTACTTTCACTTATAGTGTACATGGCTCAGGAGGTAGAGAGTTCGCTGCCAGCATCTCTAATCAGGAAAAGGAAAAGCCATCTCCTGTACTGCATAAATTTCTCTCCATATAACAGTATATATACTTTCAAGTTACCAAGACTGCAGCAAAGTTTCAGGTTTGTCCAGCTGTGAGCTCCCCCTTGATGTTGTCAGGCCTTCCTTCCTGTTGTTGGCCCTCTGGTAGATCAGATAGTGCTGAGTACACGGGACAAAACAACTGTCATCCTGTGTCACCGTCGTTTCCTGTCATGTCCTTTGACAAGTTGGCCGGCTCGCCCTTCTTTGCTCTCTTTTTCCTGCTGACAGACAGCAAAAAGGGCAGGCAGGCCATTGTGTGAGGTTAAAGGAAAAGAGAGGATATCATAGGAAGAAACACCTTTCCCCCCTCCGACTCAATGGCAGGGGAAGGAAGTGATGTCATAAAGTTATCTGTCTCTCATACAGAGGCTTTAGTTTGTGTTTTTAGATTCACTCCTTCCAGTTTGAACTCACTATTCATTTTCAATCTGGTGTGGTTCAGGAGCAGCTAGGGTGCAGAAATAGAAAGTGTGCCATCTCCTGGAGACATATCAGTATCGCATAGTGTGAACTAGCTGAGAAATGAGGAAAACCTCTTCATTGATGATACTCTGAAACAGTTTGAAAATTTGACTTCTGGTTGTGATTTTTATGCAAGTGTGCAAAGTTTTGTGTATGTGCTGTTCAGTTCACCAAAATAATCGAGCACAAACTGTTAGTCGGTTAATCATTTGTATCTATTAGTTTCAGGAATCAATCCTAAAGAAAAACTTGTTAGTTTGAGCTGATTCAGTTGCTTTTTCATGTGAGTATTTTAGCTTGTTTTTGTCTCATATAATGGCAAACTCATTATTTTTTGACTCTCAAGGGTAAGCCTTCTGTTCTGAGAAACTGTGAAGACATTTCTCACATTTTCTCTGCATCCAAACAAATGAGAAAACATTCATCAGAATAATTGATCCTGAACATAATGGTTTCTGCCCTTGTATTTAGACATCTTAATTACTAGTAAAAGCAGTAGTTGTCTCTATGTCCTGCTGTGTGGTGCAGGACACATTTGGTATTCTGTCTGCTGCTGCGGATTCCAAACATTCCCAGCATTTGTGCATGTTATTACCTCCGTGCTACCCCAATCTATCTATCATCTATTCCACAAACACACACACACATCAGAGAGAGAGAGCCAGAGACAGAGAAAGATAAAAAGAACTCCTCTGTGTGCCTCAAGAGAAACCCTGCTTTAAAGCAGAAAAGGTCTGAGAAACACGTCTGCATCCACAATCAGCTTCTGTCTCAGCAGCCAAAGTGATGCCTCAGCAGCGAGCCGGCACCTGTCTGGGACCGGCTCTGTACTTATCAAACCCATTTACTCAGTATGAATCCAGCCTGCATGAATCCTGTGTGGTTTCCCCCGTCAATAGCCCTATTTGTATATACTTCATGAAATGATTTGTCAGCACTCCTCAGTCTTAATGATTGAGCTTGTGCACCATCACACGCTGGAAAAATATCCTCTTGTCTCTCTCTGAATGTTGATGGCCCGAGGCAAGGTTTCAACTAAAGTTTTTCTCCTGGAAGAAACTGCCACTCAGCACACATTGAGGACACGAATCAGTGATCAAGCTGCTTTTCATCAACTCCTGCCATTTCCTCTAACTCCATTCATGCACACATTT